TTGTCATTTGTTGAGCAGGAAGAGTGAGCGCTTGTTTTCATGCAGAGTATGTCCCGGATCAAAATGCGGTACAGTCGTCTTTTTTTTTTTCTCTTTCTTTCTTTTTTTTCTTTTTTTTTTCTTTCTTCGTTGTCATTTGGAAATGAGATCGCACATAAGTATGAATCGAGATCGCGATTTTCTAACGATTAATTGTGCAGCCCTAGCGCAAAGCATCAGATTACAAAACTGCATGACCGGCTAGGGTGTCACAAATGTTATGGCGTGCCCCCAGATGATGTGATGTCCAACTCGGCACGGGGCGCTCAGAGCATAAAAGCACCATACCAGTGAATGCTTATAAAATTATTTGATTGCAGATCAGGTTTGCCTCAAAATTTGTTTTCATTGGACATTGACAAAATTAGCAGTTGTGGGTCAACTAAGTTTGAATGTCATTTTCTCTTATTCTAGCCTCAAGAATTGCAGTCATGGTTTGCACTCGTTGTCCATCCACAACATGTTCAGTTTATTTTAAGGTTCAAGACACTCATGAAGCATCTCTGATTTGCTTCAAAATGACTTTTCCACTTCACTGGACTCATCCATGCCAGCCATGTTACCCTGTATGACTTGAGATGTTAGATTTACAGCGAAATACCACTCATCAGCATGGTGATGATAAGTGGACATGATAGGTGTATGACCACTCATTTGGCCAAATGAAAACAACAGATGAGAAGCATAATGTGTCATTGTCCACAGTGTGCTTTAATGGCGTAGTTTAGCCTCTAAGAATGGTGCCTTTAAAGCTGTGGTAGATGTTTGTTATGAATCTTAAGCATCTAAACAAACCACACTTGTTTGAGGATGTGTCAAATTATTCCAAGACAGAGAGATAATAATATATGTGATGTCTTTCAGGGAGGCAGTCTTTTTCTTGCCTAAACCAGTGTAGGCCTATGCTTGGCACAACCTTGCTACATGATGTCCTTGATTTTTAACTGTAGATCATTTTGAATGCAGATGAAGCAGTGAAAGTCAATAAACGGTATGTAGCCATTACAGCATATGGGTTTACACTCACAGCTCATGGTGTTGGAAAGACTCCTAACTCATTCATTCCCATCCCTTATGTTTCTTCATACCCTCTAGCTACAACTTGTTTACCCCCCTTCTCCATTTTTCCTGCACTCCTCCTGACTCAAAGACTTCCTAGTATCGTATAGTAAAACTCAAGCATTGAATCTTAGGTTTTGTTGAAAGGATTTAACTTGGAGTATAATTAATTGTTCAGTGTAGGGTTGTTGTACTATACTTTATGTTGTACGACTTGAGTTGCTTTGAGCTTAAAATGTGCTAACAGCAGTGGCCAAGAATCAAATTCTGGAGCTTGCATTTATGTGCTAGTGTGTTCCTCATCCCTTAGGCCATGAAACAAAAATGCTTTTGTTAAGCTTTTTCGTTAAGTTTTGTGTAGGTTTGTTTAATTAGGCATATTACAAGTTGTACAACCCCCAGTAGTAATATACAAATGATCTGGCTGCGGCATGCTGCAACAATATATTAAAGTGATAATTAAAAAAAAAAAAGAAGTCCTTTGAATACCCTCTTAAAAATCTCTTGATCATTTTTATATGGAAAAGGGCTGGATAGATAATGACAATTGGTATGTTGTCTAGAAATCAGGTTTTTTTTTTTTTTTTTTTTTTTTTTTTTTTTTGTGTGTGTTACATTTTGTTTCAAAGCCAGCTTGGTTTATATTAAAGTTGTTTTGATAAGCATTTTTTTTTTTAATGTTCTGTTTAGGTCTGTTTTTGAGCTTTTCAAACTGTGCCTTTTTATACACATTCACAGCAGGTGATTTATTGCTTGTTTCATTTGTTTGTTCAACCATGAGAGTTATTCGAGGAGCAGTTGAAATTATGAGCTGATTTGAACACCATTTAATATTTGTTTATCTTGTATACAGCAGACACTTTATACAAGTTGTATTCACTTTTATAAATTTGAGCTTTGAGATAGATAGATATTCATTCATTCATTCATTCATTCATTCATTCATTCATTCAATGGAACTAAGTGAATAGAAAAGTTGGGATGCACTAGCTACAGATGTCTAAATGTATCAAGCACATTATGCAGATGAATCACTTGGATATGTCCAAGTGTCTTTCTTTTTTCGTGTTCCCAGAGTAGAAAATGTAAGGGCAATGCTAATGATGATCATTTAATAAGACTAGAGCTTGTCTACTCAGCCAGTGAAGTGGAAAGGTGGGTGGGGGGAATGTCGCCCCAGCACTGCCACATAGTGTGACCTCAATTATTCCATATTGTCATGACAGTTTGGCATGGCACGTGTCGAGTGCAACTGTTTCTGCCACTTTTTATTAATAATGCATCCCTTGTTCTCGGCATCTGTCAGGGTTTCATTTCACATTGGAGAGTGACACTTGCTTGTTTTGACATACACAGCTACTGACATTTAAATTTCTTCAACCGGATAGGATATATTATCATTTTCACCTTAGGCAAAAAAGACATACCTGGCCAATGTAGTGGAACCCAACTTGTCCTCCTTGCTTGTGGTTTTTGGTGTAGTTCTCTTCCCACACTCTGCCTTCTCCTTGCCGAGTTCTGTTTCACTTTCTTTTGCGGTTTCAGTCTTCCTGCTTGTGCCCTCTTTTCTTAGTGCCTCACTCTTTTCTTAAGTCTTGCTGTTTTCTTGCCTTGGGCATCTAAAATGAGTGTGTGTGTGTGTGTGTGTGTGTGTGTGTGTGTGTGTGTGTGTGTGTGTTAATAACAAGTTCACAACGCTAATGAGGATATTGATTGACATTTTACATGAGGATTTTGTTTGGACATATTTAAAACACAAACAAAGAAACAAACAAAGATTGTGTTTGATATTGTACCCAGAGGTTGTGATTATTATAAACTGTTTTTACCAAAAATATTGGGGTGGGAGAGTGACAGGGTTTTTGATTTTATTCATTTTATTTTAAATTTGTCTATTTGTAATCTCAATGGATAATTAAAACAAATTTGCACTCCACACAATGTAACAGGGGAAAGCTTTAGAGTCCCAAAGGTTTTTCTGTATTTACAGCCTCCATAAAACACT